AGCCCCGAATTTGCTTCGCAGACTGCAAAATCCAAGCTCTATCAATCACCTTCCTGCATCATTTCTGCTCCCCTTTGCCCTTAGCTCCTGGATCCCTTCCGTTTGTATGATGACCCTGCCCGCACTATTGGTTCCAGTTTTAGCTCTGGAAATTTCCATGAGATCCCTTCCGAGTCTCCAGTTGTGCAACCACAAAGACATTACCCCTTCGCTGTGATCTTCCGGCTTGATACAATCTTTGCTGCCCCTTGCTCCATTCTCGCCCGGGGCTGGAATCTCCCTGTGGTCCAGCGATGGGGATTGCCCAGGGAATTCTAGCCTGGGGGAAGAGGGGACCCCTGCAGCAGTAACCGCGTCGCCTCTGTCATTTAAAGGGCTAGATTTGCAAGAGGAGGGGCGTGCTGGCATGTAGAATATGCTCAGTGCAAAGTGCAATAAGGACACACCTATGCAGACCCTCAGAGCAGCCTCTGCCGTGATGTCCAAGCCACGTCTGGGCCTGTGGGTGATTAGACGTGTCCAACAGGTTCGGGGTTTTATAAAAGGGGGGAAACTAATAAAATCTAAACCAAGCACCAGACCCCAAAGGCACCATTAGGAACGTCCCCGTTGCTACTGATTTTACCCAGAAGGCGCTCATGTACTCCAGTGAAGGGCAGCAGTCAAACAGCTTCAGATGAGACAAGCGGTGGGTGTTCTGGAGACACGTTAAAGTACAGAAACAGCCAGTGCTAGACAGAATACAGGGCTGCTGTATGGAATTTGCTCCATTATGCACCTGTATCTATTAGGGAGAGGCAGCAGGGTATAGTGGTTAGAGCCGGGGTGGGCCTGGGCTCTATTCCTGACTGTTAGTGACCTTGGGCAAGTTGCTACATGCCTCAGTTTGCCCATCTATAAAACGGTGGATGAGAACCCCACCTTTATCCACAGCGTTGAGATCGCCAAATGGACTTAGACACGTGATATATTAATGCTGCAAAGGAATATTATGAGATTTGCACGTAAACACTTAGCTCAGCGGGAAATGTGTTGCATGAGCTGTGGCATGCAAGTGGGAAGGTAAGTGTGCAAAAGAGCACATGCAGAGAACTGCCACTTGCACTGGTGCTGTAGGTGCATTTCGGAACATAATTCTTCTTTTTTCTGTGCAATTTTGCAGATCGGACACCTCAACTGAGCATATTACCTGCACACCTCAGAAAAGGAGGTCTATTTGGTATATATCTCATTTTAAATCTATTTCTCAAAGCGAGGGGAACAAACTGAAGCTTTTGCCAAGGGTGAAGTATGGAGAGACCTCTATTGTTTTCCAGAGTCAGTTTTCATTTTAGTAACAACATAATTAGTCTCTAGCTCTTATGGCTGTGAAAAAACCTTTCAAAATGTGACACAAGTTTAACTGACACAGCAACATCTGCCTGAGTTTGCAGAGCGCCTGAAACAATAGCGCCGAGCTGTGAACTACCCCCTTGCTTTCAATGGGTGCTATTAGATGCCAGAGATGCTATTTTAACTCCCCATTTTATTAATTATTTCACTGCTCATCAAAGCAGGTAAAAAAGGAGAGGAAGGATAAGATTATGAAGATCTACACCAATATTTCCCAAACTAGGGTCATGAAGGAGCACAGAAGACAGAAAAACTTCAAAAACAGACTCCAACGAGAGACTGCTGAGCTGGAATTGATATGCAAACTAGACATAATCAACTCCGGTTTGAATAAGGACTGGGAATGGCTGAGCCATTACAAACATTGACACTATCTCCCCTTGTAAGTATTCTCACACTTCTTATCAAACTGTCTGTACTGGGCTAGCTTGATTATCACTTCAAAAGTTTTTTTTCTCTTAATTAATTGGCCTCTCAGAGTTGGTAAGACAACTCCCACCTGTTTATGCTCTCTGTATGTGTGTATATATATCTCCTCAATATATGTTCCATTCTATATGCATCCAAAGAAGTGGGCTGTAGTCCACGAAAGCTTATTCTCTAATAAATTTGTTAGTCTCTAAGGTGCCACAAGTACTCCTGTTCTTCTTTTAGAAGCTGTATACAAATTAAGAAATTTTGACCTTTTTTCAGAAGGACAAATTTGGTTTTATTTTCCTGAAGGGGGCTCAGCTTTTAATAGTTTCAGAAATGCTGCCTTAAATTATCATGTTTCATAAGCTTATAAGTAGAAGTGGACAAGAAATGGTTTTCCCCATCGTGTGAAATTTTTCAAGGTATCAAAAAAAACCTTCCTGTCCTGCATCAGGAAGGAATGTCAAAATCTCAGAAAATGTCATGTACCAAAAATCTGGAAATGATTTTGTTTTGGGTCAATGAAAATGTTTTGTGCCAATAATTTCAAAACATTTCATTTTGATTTGCAACCATTTTTTTCTTGGAGTCTAAATTTATTCAAATAACTAAAGAAAAATTTGCTTTGACTCAACGAACCCAGAATTTCTAGTTCAATAATGTCAAAACAGGGTGTTTTTACAATTTCAAAACTTTCTTTCCAAAATTGTTGGAGGCGGGAGATTTGCGAAAACCAATCCCATTTTGTGAAGTTTCAATTTCAACAAATCAACATTTTGGAGGTGAAAAAACAGTTTGTCGAAAAATTCCCAAACGGCTCTTTTCACAAGTGATCTTTTGAAGAGGAACACCTGACTCAGAAGACATAAATCCTGCTGCTGTCTTGGACTCTTGTGAGCACAAGAACATAAGAACGTCCATCCTGGGTCAGATCAAAGATCCATCCAGCCCAGTATCCTGTCTGCCGACAGTGGCCAATGCCAGGTGCCCCAGAGGGAATGAACTGAACAGGGAATCATCAAGTGATCCATCCCTTGTCATCCACTTCCAGCTCCTGGCAAACAGAGGCTAGGGACACTCAGATCATGGGGCTGCATCCCTGACCATCCTGGCTAATAGCCATTGCTGGGCCTATTTTCCATGAATTTATCTAGTTCTTTTTTGAACCCACATAAACTTTTGGCCTTCACAACATCCCCTGGCAATGAGTTCCACAGATTGACTGTGAGTTGTGTGAAGTATTGTACTTCCTTTGGTTTGTTTTAAACCTGCTGGCTATTAATGTCATTGGGTGACCCCTGGTTCTTGTGTTATGTGAAAGAGTAAATAACACTTCCTTAGTCACTTTCTCCACACCAGTCAAGGTTTTATAGACCTCTGTTATATCCCCTCTTCGTCGTCTCTTTTCCAAGCTGAAAAGTCCCAGACTTGTGACTCTCAGGTTACCCTACCAAGGCCGTCTCTTGATACTGCTGTCTCTCCCCTACCTGTGTTTTACAAGCACCATGAGCCACACTTGGAAGTTCTCCTGCACTGGAAAGCTGAAAGGTCAGCAACATTGAAGTTAGACAAACTGGAAGCATGCCCCTGTTTACTGGGAGCTCCTTATACCTTACCCTGAGATTCACTAGGGAGATGCATGAGGACTGAGCAATGAGTGCCCCCTCTGCGTGGTGTTTCTCAATCTCTGGAGCTTCCTCTCATTTCCTGGCTGTATCTGTCCATTCTCACAGTCAGTCTGGCCTGTTTCCATCCCTTCTGCCCAACTCTCCCATTATATACTGAATCTTCTCTGGGAGTGCAGCCTCCTTCCCAGGGATAATACTATTAATTTATTATTGCCATTCCTCTAGGGGCTCTCGTTATCGATCTGGACCCCACTGTGCTAGGCGCTGTACAATTTATAGGTGCCATCCTTCCCAGGGCAGCATTCACCAAGGGGGGAATTCACCCCATGCAGGGAGGCCAGAACAATGTCTAACCACCACTTGAATCCTCCATAGACTTCAATCGGACTCAAGTGGCGCCTAGCCCTTGGGCAGGCTCGCAGCACAAGGATGAATGTCACCTAGCAGATGGGCCATGGCAATGCAGACTTTCCCTCAGCCCTTAACTGGAGGGAACACCTCTGGAGTGAAAGGGGAGTGCACCGACCAACCCACGAGCGTCTCTTCAGGGCACTGCTACTGTCTCATGGGTTAATGCAATCCATTGCCAGGAAGCTTTATTCTGAAGCCCATCATTCATGCCTGCTCTTTCCTCACCACGTACTAAGGAATTAAATAACTGTTCCCAATAAATCGGGGAGGGAGGAGAGGCCAGGGAACGGGCCCTTTTTCAATGGATACTTGACATTAATGTGGAGAAGGTGGAGAGATGGTAGGAAGCTATTAGAGAAGGCATCAGCTGCAGGGGAGAAGGCTCTCGTCCCACCAGCTCTGTTGAAATGACGTGAAAGGACAGAAGAGATCAGAGCTAAGGGTCTGGGAGGGAGCAGAGAGGGAGATAAAGGAAGACAGACAACAATGGCAGGCATTCCCAAACCAGATTCTGAAATAAAGCCCTGATTCAGCAAAGCACTTAACCGCCTTGCTTCAGTCCCACAAAGTCTTCTGCACGCGCTGCAGAGTGCGCAGCTTAGAACTGAGACGGAACTCCCGTCGCTTGTTGCCTAACTAGCATTTCAAGCCAGAACTGAAGGTCAAAAAAAAATCCTCTACTAGATTTCAGCATAGAAAAGCTGAACTATAAATAACTTTAATTATTACGGTTGATTAAGCAATTAATTCCTGCTCGTTATTATTCCTCTTAAACAGGGACACAAAAGAACAGAAGAATTTCACACACCTAGATCAGATCATTGGCACATCAAGTCCAGACCCCTGCCTTGTGCTTCAGAGCTAGGTCAAGGACCCCTTACTCATCATGCACTGAGAATGAAATTTACTCTGTGTAAAGGGACAGCACAAAAGCTACGGTGCTGAGGGGTTGCACTGGCGCACTGAATACAGGTGAATTTCACCCCAAACTGGTTGTTTAACAATGATGTCTGTAGAACAGGGGCGTGTGAAATAGCCATTTGCTAGGGGTGTTGGTCACAAGGGTCATGCACTTAATTCAAATAGTTAGGTCTTGAGTAACTGGGTGTGCTGTGGAATTTTCCGCAACTAATTGACACAACAAAGACATTCCAGTACAGATTAGCATTTAATTTAATTTAACAAGGAGCTGGTAGAGAGATTGTCCGACTGGGCATTCCTGAGCCAGGTCCCTTTATCAACGGGGACAGGAAGGCAGAGATAACATCTTTCCAAGGGGCCACCGTGTCTAAGAAAGCGAAGAAGCATCTTCCAACAAGTGTCCAAGGCCACCCATTGGGAATGTAGATGGCAAGCGCAGCCAAGAGGGGCTTGGCTCTTGTTGGGTGGTTCTTCGGGTGTAACGGCTTCACCTGCCTGGCTCCTCACAGCCCAGTCCTGAGGAGGACGCAGAGGAAACTGGCTGAAATCCCCATCACCACGTAGCTGATTTGTATGCTGACCGCCCCATCCACGTTGCACAAGTCAGAGTTACAGCAGAAGGTGGGGCGAGAGCCCCCGATTTCATCCACGTCGGACGGGATGCATTTCTGAGCGCACCCCTTGACGACGGTTGAGTCGCCCACGAAGGGGAAAACTACAACATTTCAAAGCGAGAGAGAAGAAAGGGGTATTAAAGGGAGGATTTGGGAGGGGAGGGGACAAGTTCCAGCCCTGCGGGGAGCACTGAACATCTGTCCCATTTGGATTCCAGCTCCAATTCCAAAAAGGTTCAGGGTTGGACCAGCTGGGAACTAAACCACCAACCCTTTTGCTGGTCTCCTATGTAGAGAATGCCCTACATACGTTCCTTGGGGTCTATCTTGGTCTCTTTGGGCGCTGACCCATCTCTGGTGTCCTTCCTGCATGTGCCTAGCTCGGTGAATGTACAGGCAGTTCCACTGGGGCGGCCACAAGCTAAGCAGGGACACCTGGCGCATGCCCCTGGCTTTACTGGGTGTCATCTGTCTCCCTGCAGACACGATCCATTGCCTCTCTCTGGAAAAGTGTCTCTTTACTCAGCAAAGCGCCAATGCAGCCTCGTCTGGAGAGGTGCCGAGAACACTCTGAACTCAAGGGAATCCAGTTTAGGTTCCTAAGAGCCCAGTGATTCAGGCACCCACCCAGTCCGCCAGCTCCCGTCACGCTTTCATTATTTATCCACAACAGGAGAGACTGACGCTGTCCCCATTGGGATGCCCCAGAGCTCAGGGGTTAGAGCATCGTCTGAGAGACAGGAGATCTTTCGCCCGTGCTGGCAGGGAGGGGAATTGAACCTGGGTCTCCCACATGCCAGGCAAGTGCTCTAACCGCCTGATGCTTTGTGTGGCACATAGCAGGTACCTAACCCATTCCTGCAAGAAACCCCCGACGTGCCTAAGCTGCAGTTGGTTCCCATTTGCAAATCACTAGCAGAGACAGGTGCCTCCCTGCACCTATTGCCGAGAGGGGTGGGACTTAGCAAACCCCCCTCTCATCAGCCTCTCCCATTGGCTAGAGGCGTGTCCCCACCTAGCGTGCCGGCTTTTGTGAATTGTAGTCTGAGGCGCCTGTCTCTCCCTCTTCATTGTACAGGAGCCTAGGTCCCTAACTCAGGCTTCGTGGCTCCCGGGGCGGTTCCTGTGATTTGCCAGGGCACTAAAAGTTACACGCCGTGACGCTGAGCGTAGCGACACCTAAGTCCCTTTGTGGATCTGGACCTAAGTGACTCGCCCAACGCGAGTCCAACTGAGTCAATGACAGAGCCAAGACTAGAATCCACTGCTCCCAAGTACCCGCGTTGCAGCCTGGGTCCATCGCTAGCAATCACAGGGGAACTCTGATCCCTGGGGTTGGGGCTGGATGGACGTTCTTCCCTTCCCTACATGTGAGCACAGGCTTCTCCCTCCGGGAGTCTCTTCCTTACCTTCCTCTAGGGAGTACATGACTGTCTTGCACACGATGTCATTCGTGGAGCAGTTGCTGATGGTCATGCACAGGGAGGCGCTCATCGGCTCCAGGCATGTGTAACACTGCAAGGCGTGGGCTGCAAAGAGGAACAAAACGGGGTTGCCTTCATGGGGAGCAACAGGTGCTGTCTGCCCTTCTAGATCACCCCTGTTAGGGAAACCGCCACAGCGTCACTCCCCTAAGGCAGTTCTCGGAATGTGGTGCCGTAGGAGCCGGCAGTTCCCTATACATCTTGTCTGATGCATGGAGGGGCATGCTGCAAAATCCACACGCCATGTCTTCGGTGTCACGCCAGGCTACTGTTAAACGGCCTCCAGGCATGCGGGTATCAGAGGTTAAGCCAGTCCTTGGAGAGCATCATTTCAAAGAGGTTTGTCTGTCGGCTTTGTAACAATTAGCTAACCAGACCCGTCTCACACAGTTATCTGAGTGGCAGAATCCTCAGCCAGCTAATCACATCCAGAATAATGGACGGGCTGAACTGGTTTACACAGACATCATTCCATGGGTGGGCCGGCCACTCCTGAGGCCTCATTGTGATTTCGATTTACACTCGAGTCCCTGTGCTCATCCCCTTTATATCGCCAGAGCAGCTGCCAACTCTCCCGTGGTATATAAGCCCCCCGGCTTTCACAATAAGCCAAAAATCAAGCTAATCCCATTTCAAACCAAGCCAATCCCCAAGAACCCCACCACTCTGTGACTAGATCCCCCCGGCGTGCAGTCTGGGACTGTGGGGGGCCCACTGTGCACCCCGACTCTCTCCCCCCATTGCCCCTGCTTGCCGGGAGCTGATAAAAAAAAAAGACACAACAAGCCACAAGCCAAACAAGCCAAAAACTAGCCAACAAGCCACTCACCAATTAAGCCAAAAACAAGCCCAATTTCTGTGTTTTTTTCACAGGTTTGGCACGTCTGCACCAGAGTGCTGTAAAGACACCTTATAAATAGCATACAGAAGCCTTCTTGTAAGTGAGAATCAGACCCTCGGCCTATAAGCTCTTTGGGTCAGGGGCTGTTTTTATTTTGCACTTTCTCCAGCGCTAAGCACGTGGTCAGCACTTACCACAGGAGAGTCCTTGGGGCAGCTGGGTAAGAGCTCATTGTCGAGAGCTAGAATTAGGCCCATAGGATTTGTGTGGGCCTGAGGGACGTCAGGCAGGCCCCAGGCTAGGACTAGTCTGTGCTGAGATGTTGGTTCCACATCCAAAAGTGGGTCTCACATTATTTTAAAAAGTTAAACATTTAAACACAGGACAAATATTATACCATAAGCAAGTCCTTCTACCAGGAGGAAACAACTCTGGAAAGCATTTGCTAGATAAACTTCCTCTCAGGAGAAAGGCCCTCTGAAAACCAACCAACCAATCAACCCCCCAGCAGGGCCGGTGCAAGGAAGTTTCGCGTCCTAGGCGAAACTTCCACCTTGCCCCCGCCACCAGCCTTGCGGCAGCTCCCCACCCCCCTCCACCCTGAGGTGCCCCCCCCCGCGGCAGCTCCCCCCTCCCTGCCCTGAGCCCCGCCCCCCCACCCGCGCGGCAGCTCCTCCCCTGGCCCGGGGAGCCATGCGGCAGCTCCCCACCCCCCTGGGCTGCCGGCAGCGGCTCAGACTCCCTCTCCCTCCCAGTGCAGCAGCCACTTTTTGGCGCCCCCAAATCTTGGCGCCCTAGGCAACCGCCTAGTTGGCCTAAATGGTAGCACCGGCCCTGCCCCCCAGCTTCTAACCTGAGGCTTTTTATAAATGCGGGCAGAGCCTAAACAAGCTGCAGGTGAGCGAATTCCACCCCAATTAGACCCCCAAAAGATCCCTCAGAAAACTGGACCCAGCTGCTCCCTCAGGCTTTCTCATGTAGAGTTGGTCACTCTGCGGTGCTTACTGTGGTCTGGCGGTTTATCCTAATATCCAACCTAAACCTCCCCAACTGCAACTTGAGACCATTACTCCTTGTTCTGTCATCTGCTACCACTGAGAACAGTCTAGATCCATCCTCTTTGGAACCCCTTTCAGGTAGTTGAAAGCAGCTATCAAATCCCCCCTCATTCTTCTCTTCTGGAGACTAAACAATCCCAGTTCCCTCAGCCTCTCCTCAGAAGTCATGTGCTCCAGCCCCCTAATCATTTTTGTTGCCCTCCGCTGGACTCTTTCCAATTTTTCCACATCCTTATTGTAGTGTGGGGCCCAAAACTGGACACAGTACTCCAGATGAGGCCTCACCAATGTTGAATAGAGGGGAATGATCACGTCCCTCGATCTGCTGGCAATGCTCCTACTTATACAGCCCAGAATGTCATTAGCCTTCTTGGCAACAAGGGCACACTGCTGACTCATATCCAGCTTTTCCTCCACTGTAACCCCTAGGTCCTTTTCTGCAGAACTGCTTCCTAGCCATTCAGACCCACAGATTAAAACATGTGGAATCAGCTAGGGTGGGGAGCTGTAAAGCCACTCCTCTCTCTGAACAGGAGAGATACTTAACTTAACCCTAACTGTTCATTGTTTATTAGAAACCACATAACAGTCAGGGGTAGAGGCAACAAAATTCATTATTGAATACACAGCATCAAACTAGCATGAGCTCTGACCGGCTTTGACCACCTTAGCTCAGACAGTGATGGATCATCCATCGCTTGTCTCTGTATTGGGTGCTTGGGCAGCAAGATGGGTGGCATCTTAGAAAATACCTGCAACAAGCAGATTTTACTCACGTCAAGTAGACAAGGGCCGATACAACTAGTTAGTTAGATCTTAGTGAGGGCAAATAGACTGTTTATTTATTGGACTCTTTAATACCCCAGAAAGAGTTCATTGGGACTTTGGGACTTGACCAGAGGGCCAAGCCACTGAAGACCCGCCAAGGTCGGCCAGCAGCCTGGTGGAGGTACCAGGGGTAAGAGAAGGACTGAAATACCACACCCGGTCACCAGGAGGCACTGGAGAGATGAGTGCCCCTTCAGTCTGCCTTATCTATTTAGTTTGTAAGCTCCTCCACATTAACACAAGCTTGTGTTAAGCAAATAAACGCCTTTCTTCTTAGCATATTATTCACCTCACAAAGCAAAGTCTGCTCCTAGCTACTCCATGCTGCTCTCTGCTCTGCTCTGCATTCAGATCTCAGGCAGTTCTCTGCTGGGTCAGCATTCAGATCCAGCTGTGTTGTTCTATAACGGGTGGCCATTTGAACGCTCCAACCACACCCAACACCCTTAGGTCACAACAGCAGCTGGTCCCCACAGTTATACCCCGTTGTCGTGTCATTTCTGTAAATGATGGGCCAAAATACTGTCATCACATGTAAGCCCAGAGCTCACACTGATTTCAATGGGAGACATCTGCTCACATCCACAGGCAGAAATTGACACAGTTGCTGTTTTCTTTAAAGAAGCGTGGCTTGATGGATGATAATCTGAGGGCGATTTCTATACTAACTAGAACTGGGCAAATACTGCCAAAAATACTCACGAACATTCATTGGAATAAAACCCACGGATTCAGAATTCGCAACCCTTTTTCTGTTCAAATATTGTATTCTATTTTGCTGAAATGCTTGTTTCTGGAAAGCAAAATTATTATTGAAGCGAGTCAATAACTGCATATGAAGGGATGTGGCCTGACGAAGAAACTTGAAATCTCTTTGCGTCCCTTCCTTCTGTTTATAGAAGTTCAGGGAACTGCGATCATACCAGAAACCCAGTATCAATACTAGTGACTACTCGAAACAACACGTTTCTCCCGGAAGCGCCCGGCTACTGTTGGCATGTCTCTGGGTGCTGCTGGCGGGGATGGGAAATTGGCCAATGGGAGCTGCGGGTAGGGTGACCAGATCACAGGGATGAAATATCGGGACGCGGGGAGGGGCGGGGGGGGGAAGGCAGTTTCGCAGGGGCAGGGAGCATTAGCAGGCCCCAGCCGCGCTGCCGGATTGCACACAGTGCCCCGGCCGTGCGCACTGCCCTCCCCGCGGAGCCTCCCGCCCCCCCCAGCCCGCCCCGGGCACATGCTGCACGTCCAGCCGCCGGAGGGGAGCCCCGCGCCTCTCCCGCTCGGCTGCTCTCCAGCGGCTCCTTCCCGGCAGGACGAGCCACTGGAGCGCAGCCAAGCGGGAGAGGCGCAGGGCTCCCCAGCAGCGGCGGGGAAGTTTATCGGTTCGGGGGACCGCCCCGCCTGGGACAAGTCTCGCCCCCACAGCCTCTCTCTACCGCGTGTCTCCAGCGGGCGGCCCACGCCCCCGGGCCGTGCCGCCTACCCGGGCCCTGCCCGCTCCGCGCTGCCCCCGGACCCACTGCGCTGCCCCGCGGGCTGCAGGGCTGGAGCAGCCTCCACGCTGCACTGCAGCGCTCCCGGTCCCGGCCGGCCATGGCCCGTGTGCCCAGGCTGCTGTACAGAGGCGTCTCCTCCCCAGGCCCAGCTCAGGATCCAATGGGGCAGTGAGGGGGCGGGGCTGGGGATTTGGGGAGGGATCCAATGGGGGAAGAAGGGGGCGGAGTTGGGGCGGGTGGGGGGGCACGAGAGCCCCTCTGGGCTCCGTCTGTGTGCCGGAGTGGAGGGAAAATTTGCTTCTTTGTCCAGTGTCCCGACCGAAGATCAGTTGGGACGTGGGACAAACAAGCAAATATCGGGACATTCCCGATAAAATCGGGACGTCTGGTCACCCTAGCTGCGGGGGCGGTGCTTGTGGGGGCGGTGCTTGCAGGCACGGGCAGCACACAGAGATCCGTTGCCTCCCTCCCCCCACGGGGGGCGCAGAGACGTCAGCCAGCCACAGCCGCTTCCGGGAGTGGCATGGGGCCACAGCATGCAGGCAGCCTGCCTGAGCCCTGCTGCGCCACTGGCCAGGAGCTGCCTGTGGCAAGTGCCTCCTGGTCAGAACCTGCACCTGGCACCCTCTCCTGCACCCCAACACTCTGCCCCAGCCCAGAGCCCCCTCCTGTACCCAAACTCCCTCCCAGACCCCGCACTCCCTCCTGCACCCTAATCCCCTGCCCCAGCCCAGAGCCCCTTCCTGCACCAAACTCCCTACCAGACCCCGCACTCCCTCCTGCACCCTAATCCCCTGCCCCAGCCCAGAGCCCCTTCCTGCACCCAAACTCCCTCCCAGACCCCGCACTCCCTCCATTCATACAGTAGAAATGTGCAGCACATGACGACTTACCAAAACTTGTGGCGTGGCCCCCCTGGGGAAATTATTTCCCACCCCTGCTCCACCGCATGAGCTAAAAGCCAACAGGCTGTAGAGCAGACTCATTGTATCTCTCTCTCTAAGTGGTCTCGGTGCCACTAGATGGGACAGAACACCACCCCCAGGAGGTTGTGGGTTACACACGCTTAAAGTGTCTGCATGGAAACCTCCCGTGTTTGTTTGATGGATTGGTACAGGCACCTTGTAATCCTTCCAGACTGCACAGCTGTGCAAGTGAAGACGTGAACCTGTTCTTAAATACCACTCACAGTGCAGATGCCCCACAGACATGGCGGGTGCCATGCACTACCGTGGGTAAAAACCGATTGAGACGTTTGACCTGCATCACAGCAGTAGCGCCGTGCAAAAAAAAAAAACCAGCGAACCCTCAAAACAACACACACACACACCTAGGAACTTTTTGAAAAAGGGCTATGGAAGGAGTTTATATCTGCAGAACCCCTTGCTCAATTGACCTCAAATTTGGGTCACTAGCCCTACTTTTCACTTCCAGGAGGCATAGCAAATTTCAAGAAAATCCATGCAAGCCTGCAGGTTTTAGAGCACTGAGAAGCGCTGTCCTTTAAACAGGAAGACTAGGCCCTGGAGAGGAAGGGCTCCTCTGCACCTCCACCTGCAGTCCAGGTGGCTCTGAAAGGTGTGAAGTGGCCCTTTCCCTCTCAGTGCGACGCTCTCTGTTGATCTCCCCAAGGAGATGAGACAACCGGCAACACTAGCTCTGAGACATGGGAACTGCTCCATTCCGTTCAGTGGCTGTTCCCATCCCCCTCCTGAGTGCTTTAGAGCCAGGCGATATGCATGAAGGATGCCTCTCCTCAGCTCCCCACCCAGAGGGGCAGGGCTTCCCCGGATCCTGGGTCACATAGGGGGCCCACCCAAAGCCAGGTCACCTGAGGAGAGCAGGGGCAAGGGTCCAGCTTCTGTAGATGGGCACATGCCCCCCATCCTGGCACACATACGGGGGCAGTGAGCGGGGCTCTGAGACCCCCAGCGGGGCAAAGCTCCCATATCCCAGCTCATATGACCAGGGGAGGGAGAGGGGTTCAGATGCCCCTACTGGGGCAAGAGCCCCCCCAGATCTGGGCACACACATGGAGGAGGAGAATGTGAAGCTGACAGGTGCCCTCCCGCCCCCATTCTCCCCCAATTCCTTGCCACTCACCCCCTTGTCCCCTTTCCCATTGTCCCACCCTCCACACGCTCCCTAAGCCCCATGCCGCCCTCCCCTGAGACCTCAAACTCTCCTCTTCCCTCCCCTTCCACCCGTCCCCATTTAGCCCCCTCCTCATTATCCCCCTCCCCTCGCTGAAGCCCCAAGCCCCTCTTCCCCGGTCCCCGCACCCCCTAATACTCCTCCCCGCCTGGGAAGCATTCGCAGATCTAATTTTGCTTGCATCCCCTCCAAACAACAACATGGAGGGGAACGCAAACAAAGAGCCAACATAAGGGGCTACCCAGGAAAGGGGGGGGGCAGAGAGACAAAAGAGAGGGGACGCACAGATAGGGGAGGAAGAACATAAGTGACATAAATGGGAGGGGACACACGCACAAAGGGGGGGCCATCACTGGGGGAGACACACAGAAAACCGGGGCCACAAGTGGGAGACACTTTTGCCGTAGTGGGGATGGGGGTGCCAAGTGGAGGGGGCGAGCCAGAAAGGGGGAGGGAGAAATAGGCTGTCAATAGCAAGAGAAACAGGGGACCTTGTAGGGTGGGAGAGAGAATGGGTGGGGGGGCTCAACCCCACCCTGAGAAAGGACTGAGAGGGTCCATGTCCCCGGAGGGGTGGATAGAGATGAGAAAAGCTCAATGGCTTCTCTGGGAGAGGTAGGAGGGGAGGGAACTGGACTCCTCTCCTTCTCCTGAGCCCACTGGGGGAGGAGGAAGGGGGTGAAGAGGAAGGTTCCTGGAACACAAAATGGCGGCTCCTATTAGTCTGGATAAGAACTGATGGCAATCTCCGGCCATCAGCAGGGTGGCCCCGGCCGCCGCACAGATGCTACATGAGTTTCCCTGACAGGAAGGAGTTCCCGCTCGAGGCATTCCCACTCACTGAAGTCCTGAGGGTTTCATATCTCCCACGCTGGGATCTGGGCCATAATGCCCCCGAACATTACGCCGATCAGGGCTTGCCCAGCCATCACCACAAAATAGTGGCCATTTGCCCTTGTCACAATAAAGTAGTAGCCCTCTGTGAGAAGACCAGATGCAGGCCGAGCTTATGGTTCGCACTCGGCAGCCCCCGAGGAGGGCAGAGAACAGGGACTGTCCCACATTCAGTCACACTGTGGCTTGCATAAGGTTGTTTGTTTCCTACGTGAGGGGGAATGAGGGGATCGCTGCTCTGTGCCCTGTGGTAACCCAGGCATCAGCTTGAGCTGGAGGGAGATGGCAGCATAGCGAGGCAGCCCTTAGAAGAACACGCTTGACCTGAACGGGAGTTGGATTGTGTCAACTCAAGTCCTTGTGCGGCGGGCTCACATGGGACTTTTCCCCCACCCAGCCAGACACAATAGCAGTTCCTGCTTGGCCACCCACCCTGAGCGACAGGGACTGTGCTCTCATAACCCATCCCTGGTGGCACAGGCGACCCTGATAGGGAGGGGGCAAGCGCATCAGTGCGTCCAGTGACGTGCAATGGAATGATATGAATCAAATTGAAATGCCAGCAGGCCATCTTGAATACCACTGTAAGGCCTGGGTGCAGTTAGGGGAACATGGGGGAGCTGCCCCCCCAAATTGCAAGCCTCAGGCAGGTGTGGAATCCCCCCCCTCCATGCATGGCCCCATTGGCCTGACTGAAGCTGCCCCCTCCCCAAATATAAAAGTCAAACTACACCTATGCTAGGTCCCTTGTTCTGGGGAACAGCCTCCAGACGGCAGGTGTGCGAATCAGTCCCACAGGGGGACCTTGACTGGGTGGCCGAGCCCATCCTTTCCATCTCTAAGGGCCCAGGTGTCTATGAATCACATGTTTCAGAGAAGCAGCCGTGTTAGTCTGTATTCGCAAAAAGAACAGGAGTACTGTGGCACCTTAGAGACTAACACATTTATTTGAGCATAAGCTTTCGTGGGCTACAGCCACTTCATCGGATGCTGTAGGCCCCGCAAGATTATGCTTCAATAAAAGG